CCAGTGATCCCAAGGATGTCTTCACAAAAGCTACAACACAGGCCTCATGGCCTTACTCACCGCATGGAACAATGTGATGCCACACAAGCAGCCCTGCTGGAAGACAGAGAGTGGAGCAATTTGCAGACAGTCACACATCACCTTGACACGGAGCTCTTCGATGTGCTCTTCTTATTGCCCTGGTGTCTGGCTGCTCAAAATTGGTTGCCGGGTGATCTGCCTGAACCCCCCACCCCGCCGGAAGCTTTTCTTCTTTTGTTTCACAGATATTATAGAACACACAGCAGGCAGCAATAACAATGGGGATATTGCTTTAATTGAGGTCTAACCTAGTAAACAAATAATGCCAGCGGCCTTTTAAACGTCCAAAGGCACATTCCACCACCATTCTGCACTTGCTCAGCCTATGGCTGAACCCATCCTTACTGCTGTCCAGGCTGCCTGTGTCCGGCTTCATGAGCATGGGAGCAAGGGGTACGTTGGATCTCCTAGGGTCACAATTGGCATGTCAGCATCACCAATGGTTATTTTGCAGTCTGGAAAAAAAGTCCCTGCTTGCAGCTTTCTGAACAGACCAGAGTTCCTAAGATGCGTGCATCATGCACCTTTCCCGAACATCCCACGTTGATGTCGGTGAAACAGCCCCTGTGATCCACCAGTGCTTGCAACACCATTGAGAAGTATTCCTTTCAGTTTATGTACTCTTTGGCAAGGTGGTCTGGTGCCAAGATAGGTATATGCATTCCGTCTATAGCCCCACTGCAATTAGGGAAATCCATTGTGGCAAAACCATCCATTATGTCCTGCATGTTGCTCAGAGTCGCTAACCTTAGCAGAAGTCTGTTGACTGCCCTGCAAACTTGGATCACAACAGATCCCATGTTAGATTTACTCACTCCGAATTGAATCCCCACTGACCGGTAGCAGTCTGGGGCTCCAGGGTTCGGGAAAGCTCTTCACACAGTTCCTGGAAAGTGGCCTTACGCATTTGAAAGTTCTGCAGCCACTGCTCATCATCCCATAGCTGCATAATGATGCAGTCCCACCAGTCAGTGCTTGTTTCCCAGGCCCAGAAGAGGAACTCAGCCATGTCAAGGTGATGCGTGACTGTCACCAGCAACTGTGAATTGCTCTTCTCTCTGTTTCCAGCAGTGCTGCTTGCGTGGCATGACATTGTTCCGTGCGGCAGCACCTGTATCGGCTGTGTGAATACCGCAGGATAAGGCACGAGGTGTTTGTAATGTTCACAACAGTGTACAGCTGAGCGGGGGCCATGCTTACCGTGCTATGGCATCTGTGCGGGTAACCCAGGCTTATGAAAAAAATCACGAAAAAGGCTTGGTTTGTTTGCTGTTGATTTCAGGGAGGGAAGGAGGGAAGTGCATCATGGGAGGCTAACGCCTTGTTTCCATAAGCGCCCGTGCAAATGTTTTGCTCCCGTGAGGCATTGCAAGCCCAACCCAAAATTCCACTTGACTCCATGCACAGTGCTGCGCTCCGTGCATTGGTGCAAGCCCTGCTCGTGAGGATGCACTCCGCTGACACAATGAGCATAGTGGGGATATGCAAGCTTGACTTGCTTAAATCGGAGGCTGGATGTCGACTTACATAAAATCGACTTAACTTTGTAGTATAGACATGGCCTAAGTGTAGACATGGCCCCATAGACTGAGTTTACAATCTCAGGTTCTGTTCCTGTAAACCAGAGGTCGGCAACCTTTCAGAAGCGGTGTGCTGAGTCTTCATTTATTCGCTCTAATTTAAGGTTTCGCGTGTCAGTCAGACATTTTAATGTTTTTAGAAGGTCTCTTTCTATAAGTCTATAATATATAACTAAATTATTGTTGTATGTAAAGTAAATAAGGTTTTTAAAATGTTTAAGAAGCTTCATTTAACATTAAAATAAAATGCAGAGCCCCCCCGGACCGGTAGCCAGGACCCGGGCAGTGTGAGTGCCACTGAAAATCAGCTCGCGTGCTGCCTTTGGCACACGTGCCATAGGTTGCCTAACCCTGCTGTAAACTGTTGTATGTTGCCAGGATCATGAGACTTCACAAACCTCCACTGATTTCACTGGCGCTCTGTAGAGGTGCAGGACTATGCTCACCCAGCACAGCTTGCAGATGGGAAGCCCAAATTCTTATTGACAATATAAAATAGATAATGAAGATAGTAAAAAGAACAGGAGTACTTGTGGCACCTTAGAGACTAACAAATGTATTGGAGCATAAGCTTTCATGGGCTACAGCCCACTTCTGGGCGGTAGTCCAAGAAAGCTTATGCGCT